TTCCAGCACTTTGGGAGGCTGAGGCGGTTGGATCAGCTGAGGTCAGGAGTTCGAGAGCAGCCTGGCCAACATGGCAAAACCCCATCTCTACTAAAAATACAAAAATTAGCCAAGCATGGTGGTGGGCCTCTGCAATTCCAGCTACTTGGGAGGCTGAGACAGGAGAATCACTTGAACCTGGCAGGCAGAGGTTGCAGTGAGCTCAGATCATGCCACTGCCCTCCAGCCTGGGCAACAGAGCGAGACGCCATCTCAAAAAAAAAAAAAAAAAAAAAAAAAACACACACACACACAAAGGTTTAAATGGTTGTTTTTTTTAATTTTTTTTTTTAAACTGTCTTAATTGAAATTGGGTTATGAAGTGATGGTCTACCTTTCAAAAAACTAGTTGTACTTTATGTTAACTTCTTAAAATATTAATAATTGCTAAGGATAAAGCTAACATTTATGAAGCACTATGTGCCAGCAACATTCTAAACACTTTGACTCTATGTAAATATATATACTGTCTTTTTGATTATACTGAAATTGGCTTATATGTTAGCAAAAATCTAGCTAAATGGGTACTATATTCTGAGAAAAACTTTGTCATTTGATTTATTTAATGATTATACCTTTCAGCAGGTTTCAGTAAGTAATTTGATTTTTTTTTTTTTTTTTTTTTTTTTGGAGATGGAATCTCGCTCTGTGGCCCAGGCTGGAGTGCAGTGGCCGGATCTCAGCTCACTGCAAGCTCCGCCTTTCAGGTTCACGCCATTCTCCTGCCTCAGCCTCCCGAGTAGCTGGGACTACAGGAGTCCACCCGCCCAGCTAGTTTTTTTTTGTATTTTTTAGTAGAGACGGGGTTTCACCATGTCAGCCAGGATGGTTTCGATCTCCTGACCTTGTGATCCACCCGTCTCGGCCTCCCAAAGTGCTGGGATTACAGGCTTGAGCCACCGTGCCCAGCCTCAGTAAGTAATTTGAAAGAAGTCCTGTTAATATCATGGCATAATATTTTCTTGAGATTAAAGTCAAAAAATGTAAAGCTTGCCAGGGACTCTGAATTCATAATGTGGATACTGGATCATTCCAAGCTCAGTAAACAAAAGTTTGAAAATAGAAAAGAAGACAAAAGAATAGAAAAGGCCTCTTCTTCTATATAAATTATAACAGGACTTGGAACTAAAGATATTTGCAAAGAAAGAAACAAACTTCCAAATAGGTGTAGTGATCAAATTTTCTAGGTTTTCCAAGTTCAACTTCATTTCATACAGTTTTTTTTTTCCATCAAATGTAATTTGTTATATGTGTAAATGGGATATCATTTCTATTCCTTTTTTTTTTTTTTTTTTTGAGACAGAGTTTCGTTCTTGTTGCCCAGGCTGGAGTGCAGAGGCACGATCTTGGCTCACTGCAACCTCTGCCTCCCCAGTTCAAGCAATTCTCTTGCCTCAGCCTCCCAAGTAGCTAGGATAACAGGCATGTGCCACCACGTCTGGCTAATTTTGTATTTTTAGTAGAAATGGGGTTTTTCCATGTTGGTCAGGCTGGTCTTGAATTCCTGACCTCAGGTGATCCACCCGCCTCGGCCTCCCAAAGTGCTGGGATTACAGGCGTGAGCCACCCCACCCGGCCATCATTCCTATTCTTTTGTCATATCTTGCCAAAAAAGGGGGATTAGGGAGCTGAAGACCATCCAACTAGTTTATCACCAGAATATGTAGTCCCTATAACCCTCCTGGTTGTGTGGATTGACCTCTTGATATTTTCTCATTGTATTAGAATCAGAACCTCTAAGTGTTTCTTTTGTTTAGTTTTGTTTTGTCTGTGTTTAGTTGTATTACCCTGCTTTGTTCTTTAAAACAATTTGAAATGCCTTATATCGTGATTTGTTATTTACTTTTTCCTTCTTCATATGAATCTGTGGTTTACTTGGCTATATACCAGGAGAAGTTATGTAGATTTTTGGGGTCAGTCTGTGTGGTCAGTTTCTGTCATTTTTGTTAGTAAATGCTCCACTGGATAGTATTTTCACTATGAACGGTATGTGGAACAAATAATAAACCATGTCTGACAAATAGAATGTGCTCCCAAACCCACTTCTGGGCCTGTTGTAGATCCAGTTTTCATTCTGACTTGGCATTCTACCTGTCGTTAGTTTTCTACCGTCAACCCTGCCAGCCATTTATTATTCACAAGGCAGAATCGGTTACCTTATTAATGTATAGGCTTCTTGACATAATTACCAGTTTATATTGTCACTTGTGTCTCTTTTTAAATATATTTTTTACTTTGAGCCTCATTTTCTAAAGAATAGCTTTTTTTCTATGCTGTTCCATTAAATGGGCTTTCAAGAAGCTATATCTTTAGGCCAAACTCTATCTTTAGTAATGGCTTGTGTTTGAACCAGAGAATAGCAAAGCCCACATATGTGTATGCTGTTCATAAGTGGCATATTTCCCAGCGTCATGCTAAACCTCAGCTGCTTTTATAATAAAAGCATCATTTCTGTTCATCGGAGTATTCAGATGAAAACACGTATGTAGCTCCTGAGCTACTTTTACTGAAGGTATGTTGGAGTACTGTGAAATAGAACTTTCCTGATTTTAGTGTCTCAAAATGGAAGCATCCCTGTATGTGTTCTGTTGTATAGTTATTACTCATAACTTGTTACCTCTCTTTTTTTATTATTATTGTTTATTAACTGTGACACAACTGCATTGGAGACTGGTCAGCTCTCCATCATAGTAGCTGAGGACCTGCAATTTGGAACTAAAAGGATCTTGATTTGAATATTGGTTTCACCAGATACCCACTTTGCAGCCACAAACGAGTTTTGTAACCTTGCTGCACTTAGTTTACATCTGTAAAATGAAGAAAATGACAGTATCTACATTATAAGGTTGCAATGAGGATTAAATGAGATGACACTTGTAATGTGCTTAGCAATAGAGCCTGGCACCTACAAGCACTTAATAAAACCAATGTGGCTATTATTCTTTATCTACATTTACCACATTCCTCCTATGTACTAGGTGTGGTCCTGGGTATTGGGGATACAAAGAAGAAAAAGACATGGTCCCTGTCCTCAGAATCCCAGAGTCTTGTGGTACAGACACATTTAGAGAAAAATTAAAATACCAACATGATACAAGAACTATTAACCTTGGCTATTTTAGGGATGTCAAGGGACGTATTTTATCTCCACTTGAAATTCTTTATATCATGCACATGGATTACTTTTATAATAAAAATTAATGACTGTCACAATACTGTCATTGCTGTATTTGAGATATGTATATAGTGCCGTGAGAACAGAGAAGCAGAGGGGAAAAGTCTTATTGGAAGCTCTGCACCATAGCCTTTGCATCTTAATCAGATTTCCCCTGAAGTGTGTTATGGTACACTTCTTTGCAAGAAGTCAGACCAAAATAACGTGGTGATCAGGTAGTAGATAAGCTGAAAACTGTCTATTGGAATGGTGGCTGTCCCACTTTACAGAGAGCTGTCTCAGGCCCAGCTGCTTTGCCTCCCAAGATTTTTTTACAACGCTACCTCTGTTCTTGAGTAGCATTGAGTAGGTTGAGTGTAGAATGACTTTCAAACATCATAATGGGAAACTACTACTCTGACAAAAAAGTAGATTTGACCTGGTTCATTGCTGTTCATCCCACACAAGATCATGAGGCAACCCTAGGGGTGACTGAAGTCTGGCCTCCCATCAGACCTAGAGCTTCATGAACTCAAGAGGAATGATTTTGAAAACCCCCCAGGAGGTTTGGTCATCCTCTTCCTCATTCCTAAGCAATTAGAAGCATTTTGAGAGGACTGGAACCAATCTGCATAAGCCTTTAGCTCCATGAGCTTATCCACCATCTAATTTAGGGTTTAAAACCCTTGATATACTTTCAAGCTGATTGTCAATTTAGACCTGACCTTAAGATTTCTCATAACTTGTTACTTGCTTTTTAACTGAATTTGTCAACAGTCAAGTTTATAAAACTCTACTATGTTAGCTAGCCCATTTAAGGAAGAAAGTAATCCAAAAAATCAGAAATGTTCCCTAATACCAAATGTCCCAGTTTTTTTTATTGTGCTATCAAATGTTTTTAAGTTTATTTTTTTCCAATTTGTTTCCTTAGCTTTCAAAGTAATTTTTGTTTAAAATGAAAAATGAATAGGCTTGTTACCATAATTTAATTGTGCTGAATTGTTTGGCCATAACTTTAGTGGCGATGAAGACCAGATTTTTGAGCTGGAGAATCTGTTCTGTTTGGATCTGACAGCTGGCTACATTAAATGTCTTGGAGATTTTTACTTTGCATGGAGATGGGGGGTTGGGAGGGTGGGAACCGCAGTAGAAGAAAGCAGTCCACTTTATTTAATGTTCTGCATTTGTTTGCTGATTCCAGTAACATTGTGCAGCTGTTTGAACAGCTGCCTTTTGATTTCCTTTTGTTTACTGTTTAGATTTATTAAGCTTGCCTTTAATACTGCTTATTGTCTCTTTAGCTTTCTTTTTTTATTAAATATATTTTAGTATGTTCTACTCTGCTGTGGTCTAGGCATATTTTAATAAGTTAATTTACCAAAGGAAGAAGTTTTAAAATGTTGCAGACCATACTGAAGTGGCTTATGCTTACTTTCTTATTGTCCCTTAGCTTTATTATTGTAGTTATAGTATTTTGTAATTTGGCAACTAAATTATCTTTTGAAATTAAGTCAGAATTTCAGTCATGTTAAACCACTGTTTATGTTAACTTCTAAGTCTGCCAACAGGTAGCTTAGTCTACATACTTCAGACTACCTTTTTAAAAAAAATTGGCAGACTAATTGTAAAGTATGTGGATTTTGTTTTAACTACTTTCTGTGTACAAATTGAATATCTAGAAATATATACACACATGTACAAGGTAAAAAGACAAATTTTGTATTTATTTGTTAGTCTTCTTAGCCTATTCAGGTAGACTTACTGCAAGGTTCTTCAGTATTATGGGACTTTTTTTCTGTATTTACAGGTGAGGGACCTGTGCATTGCTTATATGCTAGTGACGTTAACTTATCTCTATATCGGAGTCCTGGTTTTTGCTTCATTTCCTTCACCACCATTATCCAAAGATTGTATTGAGCAGGTAAGGCACGGTGTAGCCTCTCTGTGTGATTGTGTACACTTTCATGTATTTATAGTAGGCAGGGTGATACAGTGGCAAGATATAACATCAGATAGACCTGGGTTTTAATGCCATCTCTGCTATCTACTCCAAGTATGGGAATTTAGGCACCTTCCCTTTTCTTTCTGAGCTTTATTTTTCTTTTCCATTAAATAGTACAATAAGTACCCCATTTGATTTTTAGATGGACTCTGAGATAATGTACTACGTGCCAGGCACCTTGTGGTACTCAAATAAATGTCTATTATGTACATATATTTCTCTTTTTGTGGGGAACTGTTATGAGTAGTTCTCGTGTAGTTATAAAACCTCACAGAAAATACATTGAATGAACTCCCTATTTTTTAAAGCCCACATCAGGAATGCCCTGGATAAACTAGAGTCTTAGTTTATCAGACCCTAATGATTAATCAGACTCTCATTCTTATACTGAGTGACAGGCAGCAAAACAAAAAAAGAGTATTTGACTGTTAAAAAAAGAGAGAGAGATGTTCTATGAGTTACCAGAGGGTTTAAAAAAAAAAAAAAAAGAGAGATAGAGTAAAAGAAAAAAATATTTTAATAAAAGATTGCCGTAACTAATATTTTCTTTGATTTAACCCATCAAAAACTTAGCAGTCGTATAGTCTTTAGTTATAAGTGACTGAAGAGTTTCTTACAAAAAACAACATTTCGCAAGTGACTTTCTGGTCAGAAGAAATTCCTCTTATAGAGTGCAATGGAATATACATGTGATTTATTACAGCTGAATTATAATGGTTATTTCAGCAGAATAATGTTAATAGTGTTCTCATCTTTATAAGAAAAATAAGTTTGAATTACTGCTATTATGGCAGCTTGGACATGTTCTTATTTTCTTGATTTCCTTGACTCCAGAAGTTCTTTGGCAGCCAAATGTTTGCTGGAAATTTCCCTGGTATGAACAAACTCATACAAAGCCTACTCCCTTGGGAATAGGAATATTTGTAATATTTGTATTTGAAAGAAAAGATAAAAATTCTGCGTAATTAACTTTTTTTAAGATACCAAACCAAAATGGAGAAAAGGGTCATGAAAGGAAGAAGAGATAAATCCTTTTCAATTTAGTGATAAACAATGATACAGTAGGTGATAGACATACTCTCACCTTATTCTGTCATCTTTACATCAAAAGTGCTTACAGTGCTTCAGAGGAGGAAAGCAAGAGAGCCAGAGAGGGTAAAATAACACTGAATTAAATTAGCTCTTTAAATCTTTAAAGCAGACTGGTATTTTCCTTTAACCACATAGAGCAGTGCTTTCTCGATCTATCTGTGGTGAAGGACAAAATTGTCTTTGCTGTTGCTTTAATGTTACATAAATTGCATGCTGATACTTTTGTAAAATAGAATAAAATTGTGGCAATGTCATATTTCTGTAAAAGTTTCTAAACACTCAATTTCTATACTTACCTCATTGAAAAAATACTTAACAAGTAGTTGTGGATGGGCACTAGTCCACAAGTCACAATTGGAGTAGCACCTGTGTTCAAAATAAGCAGAAGACATTCCATTTTATGAATGTGTGTACTGAATTTGATTTTTAACATGACCTCATTATCTTTCTTGGATTAGAATTTTTTAGACAACTTCCCTAGCAGTGACACCCTGTCCTTCATTGCAAGGATATTCCTGCTGTTCCAGATGATGACTGTATACCCACTCTTAGGCTACCTGGCTCGTGTCCAGCTTTTGGGCCATATCTTCGGTGACATTTATCCTAGGTAAGGGCTCTTCTCTTGACCAGCAAGATGTGCCAAGCAACAAATGACTGTGCAAGCAGGTCAGTTTAAAGTGTGACTGATCCTTTTGCTATAAAAATGCCTAATGAAAGTGGTGACTAAAGATAGATCATTGGTGTCCTCTTCCCTGAAGAGCTTTAAAAATAGAAGCCACTCCCTTGTCTAAAATGATTTAAAGTTCGTTCCTTCCAGTATAGTTAATTAGCTCTGATACCACTTATATTTATCTTATTATTTAATTGCTATTGATTTACCTGTTGTCAAGAAGTTTATAATGTATAGTACCTATGTTGGCAATGTGTAGCTAATGAGAAGCAACACTTTTATTTTAATTATTGGTCATTGAAGCTATCAGGACCAAGGGAAAACTTACCCTTTGCCCTCTGAAGGTTTGTTGAAAATGACTGACAAAAGGCAGATTCATAGGCAAAAAGGGCCAGGCTCAGTGGCTCATGCCTGTAATCCTAGCACTTTTAGAGGCCAAGGTGGGTGGATCACTTGAGCCCAGGAGTTCAAGACCAACCTGGGCAACATAGTGAAACTCCATCTCTACAAAATTTTTAAAAATTAGCTGAGCATGGTGGGCATGCTTGTAGTCCCAGTTACTCAGGAGGCTGAGGTAGGAGGAGGAGGATCGTTTGAGCCCGGGAGATAGGGGCTGCAGTGAGCTGAGATCACGCCACTGCTCTGGGTGATACAATGAGACCCTGTCTCCAAAAGAAAATAAAAAGCGGAGAAAAGGCATATAAATGTATTTGAATGTGGTTTTATGTTACATGGGAGCCTTTAGAAAGAAGACCCAAAGATACAGGGGAAATTGTCCATTTTTATGATTACGTTTATGTGAACAGCCATGTCTAATGCTAATAGACTGAGTGGGGAAACCCAGCAAGGCCCCTCTGTCTAGATTCTTAGCCTCTCTGAGCATATGTTTTTTTATTTGAGTCTGGGGCAGGACCCCCTCTGTTATGGGAGTCTTATGACCTGCAGTCAAACAAGACAGGTCAGATCATTTCTTTATGGCTAGTTTTTACACAGAAATAGAGGGAAATTCGAGTGATATTTTTAGGTTTTATGGCCAGCTTGAGGGAAAATGTTTTCGTTTCCACGTTGGGGAAGAGGGATTCTAGTTTCTAAGCTAGCTTCGGGAGAATGGGACTGAGATTCAGAAGGTCAGAGAAAAACTTTTGTTTCTAAGGCTTTCATTTTGGGGTATGGTTTTCTGAGCCCAACAATCCTTACTTTTATATTCATTAACATTTATGCAGTTTTACATAAATGATCAATTGTTAAGAATTGAAGGTCAGATATATAATTAATTTTTATTTGATATATAACAAGTTTAAATTACTGCTATAATTGTTAACCTCTTATTGGGGATGAAGGAGTTGTGAGTTCTTTTGAAAATCTGTTCAAAGCTGGTTACCCTCATCCAAGAGAAATTTCTATATGTCATTTCAGAGTTTCCCAGCAGTCTTCTTGTGAACTCTTGGCTAACTCCTACTCTTACATTAAGTCTTATTATAGGTTCATCCTAGTGAAAAGAACCTAATCCACTTTTATTAGGAATAAGTTCTTTTAAAGAAATAAAAATTTTAAATAAAATTTGAAAAAAAATTGCATTTACAGTAACCAACTAAACAAGTGGTCTTAATCAGTTCTTGTTTAAAATGAACTAATGTAGTCTGCTTCTTCAGTAAATAATTTTCGCCATAAATATGTTGGTTTCAAAACAAAGCAAAAGTCAAGAGTTACCAGGTTCAAGCACTGATAAGTATAGCAGCAGCTATAGTTCTAATATTATTATCCAGAAGATTGGAGCTTAGTAAGTGTAAGCCTCTGATTGTGTTTCTACTCTACTGTATTTATATTCATCGAAGAAAATAAATACAGTGAAGTCATAGATGAAAAAATGCTAAGCAAATACATTATTCCTGTTTTCTGCCATTATTTTGCAGAATTGTGGCTGTCTTTATAAGAATGTTTTTTCTTCTTGGAAAAAGTCAGAGATTTCCCTTTTGTTTTCACATTACAGTTCTTCCCCTGCCACCAAGAACACACTGTCATTTTCATTTATCCAACAGTTATAAGTACTCTATAGAGTGTGCATACTTTGGAGCATAATTTTTGGTCTCAGGACCCTTTATGCTCTTAAAAATGTATGGACGACTCCAGGAGCTTTAGTTTATGCAGGTATAGGTATCAGCATTTAAATATTAAAAAATAGAATTTAGGTTTTTTTTGTTTTGTTTTTTGTTTTTTTGAGATGGAGTTTCACTCTTGTTGCCCAGACTAGAGTGCAGTGGTGCATCTCAGCTGACTGCAACCCCTGCCTCCTGGGTTCAAGCAATTCTCGTGCCTCAGCCTCCCAAGTATCTGAGATTACAGGCACCCACCACCATGCCTGGCTAATTTTTTGTATTTTTAGTAAAGATGGCGTTTCGCCATGTTGGGCAGGCTGATCTTGAACTCCTGACCTCAGGTGATCCGCCCGCCTCGGCCTCCCAAAGTGCTAGTATTACAGGCATGAGCCACCATACCCAGCAAAGTATTTTTAATTTCTTTAAAATCAATAATAAAACCATTACTTGTTAAGTAACATTTTTGTAAAAAACCACTTTTGGGGCTTGGATACCCCAGTCTCCATGATGTGATTATCATGTATTACATGCCTGTATGAAAACATCTCATGTACCCCATAAATATAAACACCTACTATGTACCCACCATCATTAAAATTAAAAAAAAATAAAAATAACTGCTTTCAAAAAATTTTTAATTTGGCCGTGCGTGGTGGCTCACACCTGTAATCCAAGCACTTTGGGAGGCCGAGGCAGGTGGATCATGAGGTCAGGAGATGGAGACCATCCTGGCCACCATGGTGAAACCCCATCTTTACTGAAAATACAAAAATTAGCCTGGCGTGGTGGCAGGCACCTATAATCCCAGGTACTTGGGAGGCTGAGGCAGGAGAATTGCTTGAACCCGGGAGGCGGAGGTTGCAGTGAGCCAAGATGGCACCACTGCACTCCAGCCGGGGTGACATAGCGAGACTCCATCTCAAAAAAAAAAAAAAAAACTTTAATTTACATTTACAAAACTCTAATTTCTGCTTTACTAGTAGACAATTGGATTCTCCTCTCTACTTCTGCATTCCATGTTATAATATGCTGTTTTCATTTAGATTTGTGAAGAAAATCCAGCCTCACATAGATAGTTGGAAAAAGAAAGAGTACTTTTAATAGCCTTTTCATATACTTCTGGATATTCTTCTTTGATACTGTGCCAAAACCTGACAAGTGGTAGCTTCTTACGAGTTGCAATGTGGAATCTGAAACTTGTTGACATTAAAACCAACTGGTCTATCGTGCACTTTGGATCTTTTACGCATGCATGATTTTGTAACATCTGTTTGATCATTTGGAAAATATTGGTTCACTGAGTTCTGTGGATCTTCCAAATGTTGACACACTTCATTTTACAATATCAAAACCCAATTTCATTAATACTATCACTAATTTCATCATAAGAGCCTTTAAACATTGTCAAGCTCAGGGTAGCAAATACAAGTTTTCCAAAATTCTAGTTTTTATTTTATAACTTTAATTTTATCTTTGGCAACAAATACTGCGAGTTGTTTTCCTTGCAGTGACAAGCTTATATCATTCATTTTCTGGAAAATGCCTGTCCAACACCTGAGTTTGAATGACCATAGTTTGACTGCAATTCAAGTATAAAAAGCATTTGGTAGGCAAAACAGCTAGGTCCTCCTCAGCTCAGCCACACAAGTACTTTTCCTCAGGACTTCCAGTGTACTGTACTACAGTACACAGTAGATGTGCTTTATTATGACCTTCCTATTTGATCACATAGAATATTTAAAAGATTGTGTATTCAAACATGAGATTTAGCAAAATTAATGTTCTACTCCTTTATCGAGGACCTTGTTTATTCTTTGGAGAGTGTTTGGCAGTAAAGAATACAGTATGGAAAACATGGGTGTTAGCTGGGCATGGTGACACATGCCTGTGGTCCCAGGTATTCAGGAGGATGGTTTGAGTCCAGAAGTTCAAGGCTTCAGTGAGCCATGATTGCCCCACTGCACTGCAGGCTGGATGACGGAGCAAGACCCCGTCTCTTAAAAAAATAATAATAATTAATAAAATTTTAGAAAAGGAATACAGATGAGTACAACTGCCTCCCTCTATGTATACAAAGTTGTTTCCTTTTATAATACAGAAATAACAAAGGCCCAGCCAATACCTCAAAGCTCTGAAGCAATTTTAAGGTTAGAGTTTCTGGGTAAACAATAAGATCTGTAAGCCTAATATCTATCTAATTCATCGGGTATATGACTAACCACTTATTTATATAAATAATTTTCTTTGTTTTTAATTCTCTCTGTAATCTTTATCTGGGATTAATTAACCTCTGATAACTTGGGCCCAAAGGGTTGCTTTGATGTGTACATTTGGCTTTTGAGAATCATTTTCAGGGGAAATGGAGTTATTTCTTCAGCATCAAATTTTCATCTACATTATTTTTGTTTGTGTCCAAAATTGATTCCTAAACCTTGAATTGTTAATATCTAGTTAAAGTATTTAGTAAATATTCTGTTGATGGTAGTAACTTTAAGTTCTTTCTTTATGCTTTAAGTATGAGGTATGACCACTTTCTTTAAGTGGTTAAATCTGGAAAATAAAAACCTGCCCATTTTGTCTTTCCCTTTAATATAATGCTTTTAATATAAAAGTAATTTGAACACTTTATGAAAAGTTTGTTAAATATAGAAAAGAGGGAATGTTATCCAAAACCCCAAATTGTAAAAAAATCACTACTGCCTTCTCAGTGTATATCCTTCTGATATTTTTTTCAAACGTTTTTGGTGTTTTCTTGTGTAGTGAAAACCTCGCTGACTTTTTTTCTGAATTGCCTAGATAGTATTTTACCTGACAAGGTAATAATGATAAGTTATTTTAAATAATTTTCAACATATTCTGTCAAGTAAATTGTTGCCTTGCTGTGTCCAGGATTCTTCTGTTTTTTCATAAATATCTTGATATTCATAGCATTTTCATTGTTTGGATTATTTTCTTAAGATATTCCAAATGGAATCATAGATCAAAGAATGTGAATTCTGATACACATTACCATTGTGCTTCTACAAAATTTAACCAGTGTAATTCCACAAAAGAGCTAATTTCACTTTCTCATTACCAAAATTGAGGACTACTGTTACCTTCTATTTTTGCTGTGATTTTATCGAGCTTAAGACATATTTATTTTAATAATGTTAAGAATGAACTGTATTCTCATATTAGTCGTTATAATTTGCCTATTTTTGTATTTTTTCTTTCCTCCAAACTTTCTTCTCAACTTCTAGCATTTTCCACGTGCTGATTCTTAATCTAATTATTGTGGGAGCTGGAGTGATCATGGCCTGTTTCTACCCAAACATAGGAGGGATCATAAGGTACTGCCTTGTAAAGGAATGGTGCCCTTACATATATTGGTCTTTAGTTTTAGGCTTTTCCTGTTGTTGTCGTTGTTTTAATTTAATTGTATGAAATTCCTGTGAGTATTTAAAACTAGTAATATTCAAATACAGCCCCTTGGTATCAGTTAAGATGCTCATTATCTTCCATTTCTGTTTGTTCTGGTGAGGAACTCATTCTAGAAGCCCCATTATCCCTTAGCCTCAGGCATCATTTTCTTTTTCTTTTTCTCATCATCTTCTACTTTATTTCCTCTCTATATCCAAAATAAAAAGTCATTTTTAATATATGTATAACTTTGTGGGAGTACCTGGGAGGTCCTTTATTTGTGAAAGCTTCCTTAATCCATTCTAAGTTCCTTAATCCATTTCTACTCAAAAATATATTTCAATGTCATTTGTAGTCAAAAAGTAAGAGTTTAAGTAAGAGTTTAGACCCTAGATGGCTTTCTTTAATATCCTTTTCCTAAAAACGTGACAGGATGAATAGAGTAGGAATAAAGTTGTACCTCAAATGCTCATGGGAAATTGGGATTTAGAATGATCTCATTTCTCTTACTATAGACAGCAGGAGTGAGTCATTTTTTTTGGAACACTCTTACCTAAGAAAGTAACAAGGAACAAGAGGAGGAGATTGTTAGCCTGTTGCTTATTGAATATAATGGGCTTACAAGTTCCTATTTAACTGTTCCTCAAGAAAACCCAAGTATAGAGAAAAGGAGAAGAAAGTGCATATTTCTCTGTGACAGTCTCATGTTTAAGTATTTTTGCTATTATCTTTCATATTCATGCTGAATGCCATGGTAGCATTTATCTGTTCTCATACTTAAATGGGGATGCTAACAGTCCCTCAAAAACTGAGAATGAGTAATTAGTTTATAAAAGATCAAAGATAGGAGGCCTAACTCCAGATGTTTCTGAGGAAGTAGCCACAATCACCCAAACACAGAGGAACTACAGAGATTTGAGGGATGAATAAAAAGTCTTTGTCAATCTGATGCTATAAAGATGAGCAAGAAATCATATTTTATATTAACTTAGCAAGTAAAGTAAGTTTTAAACCCAGATGTTTTATGTCAACAACAAATGAATCAAAACTAATGTTTGTTGAGCTATCAGACTGAGGAGAATTTAAATTGTACTCTGTTTACCTTAATTGTAAATCAGAAAAAAGCAAAGTGCAAGAAGAATATTAACCCCAAAAGCTTTTATTTTGCAGATATTCAGGAGCAGCATGTGGCCTGGCCTTTGTATTCATATACCCATCTCTCATCTATATAATATCCCTCCACCAAGAAGAGCGTCTGACATGGCCTAAATTAGTCTTTCACGTTTTCATCATCATTTTAGGTGTGGCTAACCTGATTGTTCAGTTTTTTATGTGAAATACCTCAACTGTTTTTTCAAGAGCTCTCATGATATTTTGAGCCTTGACAATAGTTCTATATAAATTCACTTGTAAATGCTGCTGTTGTGTAATTCTAAATATTTTCTAAGATAATTTGAAAGCAAGGGAAATAGTGGCCCCTTAATAAGTATGTTTTTATTGGGGTGGGGAAAGGGGCAAAAAGAATGATCTTAGTGTCTTTACCTTTCTCATATTAACTCACCTCTTTATTCTGTGGTCTTTTCTGAATAGAAATGTATGCCCTAGGAAGAAATCATGCTGGGTTTTGCTTTTAGAGATAAAAGGTGGTGGATTTATTTTGCCTGCAGTAAAAATTCTCAGGGTGTCAGAGCAGCATATTGCCAAATCCTGCTTCTGTTTTATGTTTCAGTGTATTCACTTTCATTTTCTTACTTACTAGACCATTTCTGCAGTTTGCCCAAACCTCTACTGTTTGGGACAGTAAATCAAATACCTCATTTTTAAAAAGAAGTTTTCATGGCATCAGTGTTAATAAAGTACATTTTTAGCTGAGTCTTAATCTCTATTTGAAGAAAAAGTAGAGACAAAAGTAATGTCAATGTAATCCCCAGGATCATGGAATGTATACAAAATAAACAAAGTAGTAGAGTTTGTTGCTGTCTGACTCTTTTATTTCTAATCCAGTACCAGTGACTTAGATCGAAATTACAGTTCCCCAAGCCAGATTTTGCATAGGAACAAGAATGGTTGTCCCCATAGACCCAGGGGGTGCTTTTGCTTTTTGGATCCCTGAGATCCCAGCATAGGCTGTCATGACAGACCCAGTGGAGAAAGCATGGCAGAGAGGAGCCTGAGAGGCCCACAGGGGAGAAGGCAAACAGAAAAGGGGCCAGGAAGGAAGAGGCCTCAGCCCAGCATATTTTGTGTCCTCTGGGGGTAGACTGGTTTCTGCACCACAAAAAAGGATTGATTTTGTTTGAGGTATGACCTTCAGAAAGAGACTTCCATCTGCTTACTTCTGTAACTGGCAGTACTATTACAGGAAAGAGGTCCTGATCCAGACCGTGAGAGAAAGTTCTTGATCTTGCGCAAGAAAGAATTCCGGGCAAGTCCATAGAGTAAAGTGAAAGCAAGTTTATTAGGAAAGTAAAGGAATAAAAGAATGGCTACTGCATAGACAAAGCAGCCCCGAGGGCTGCTGGCTGCCCATTTTTATGGTTATTTCTTGGTGATATGCTAATCAAGGGGTAGATTATTTATGCCTCCCCCGTTAGACCATATAGGCTAACTTCCTGACAGTGCCATGGCATTTGTAAACTGTCATGGCGCTGCTGGGAGTAGCAGTGAGAACGACCAGAGGTCACCCTCATTGCTATCTTGGTTTTGGTGGGTTTTAGCTGACTTCTTTACTGCAGCCTGTTTTATCAGCAAGATCTTTATGACGTGAATCTTGTGCTGACCTCCTCCTATCTTACCCTGTGACCTAGAATGCCTTAACCACCTGGGAATGCAGCCTGGCAGGTCTCAGCCTCATTTTACCTAACTCCTATTCAAGACGGGAGTTGCTCTGGTTCACACTTTGGACAGTACAGAGTTAAATCCCTGTAAGAAAAACTCCTTGAATCTGAGAAAAGGATTAAGGAATCTGTATCCTTGGAATTGACACTCTTCCTTTTTCTTCTGAACTAAAAGCTAAACTAGAATCCACATTCACGTTTTCCAAGTAATACAGCCTCTGTGTCCAGGTCAGGATACGACATGGTGATGTTTTTTCTGAAAAAATTAGATTTCTCTAATTTTAAGCTAAAGTCTAAAAATCTATTGTATGTTCGCCTCTCAGGATAGTGTATGGATTTGTGTTATTTCCTTCCTTTGAAAAAGAAAAATGGTTTTTGTAAACCTAGTAAGGAGCCCAGATTCAAGATCAGCCTTAGTTTCTTTCAGCAAAGCTTTCTGTCCTATTCATAAAGCCATAGACCTATATTAATGATGAACCGTATTTCTGAAAGCTCTTTTGTGTTAATAAAAAGTCTCATTCTGAAAATCTCAAGCCCATACAAAAGTAATATGGAGTAATATGGTGAACCCTACAATGCCTATCCCCTAGATTTAGTAATTATAAAACTTGGCTGTATTTGCTTCACCTATCTTTTTTTTTCTTTTCCACTGAAATATTATCAATCTCAGATGTTATTTCATCACCACAAACCTTAATTCACAGCTGTTAATAATAGCCTTTTGAACATAGTTATATTGATGGAAATAGCCTCAAAAGTTTTTGTTCACATAAATTGCTGGTAGTAGGAGTTTGGTTAATTGAAAAATTCTGCAGTAGGTATCAGATCACTGTGTTAATTTCTCTTAGAAAAGGAGTATAATGAATGGAGAAAGTGCCTGTCTGTGCTTGAGAGCCCCTGAATCTTTATGATTTCAGAATCTTACTCCGTTAAGAGACATAGGATTTAAAAGCTAGACAGCACTGTGAGTGATCTAGGTTCAATCCCAGCTTATCGCCAGTCACCTTCCTTCTCTTTAAAAACTTTAGAAACAGGGCTGGGCACTGTGGCTCATGCCTGTCATCCCAGTTCTTTGGGAGATGGAGACAGAGTTTTCATTGCTGCTTTTTGATAATGTATTTGAATGTTTTAACACATGAAAAAAAAGATTTGATGTATTTTTGTCCATTTAATGAACTAAATGAATATGCCAATGAATGTGGTATTTACTAAACTAAAAGGTAATGTGAATCTTTGCTATTGTTTTCTTTAAAAGACTTGATGTGAGGCCAGGCATGGTGGCTCATGCCTGTAATCCCAGCACTTTGGGAGGCCAAGGTGGGCAGATCACCTGAGGTCAAGAGTTTGAGACCAGCCTGGCCAACGTAGTGAAACCCCATCTCTACTAAAAATACAGGAATTAGCTGGTCATGGTGGCATGCACCTGTAATCCCAGCTATTCGGGAGGCTGAGGCAGGAGAATCTCTTGAACCCAGGAGGTGGAGGTTGCAGTGAGCTGAGATTGCGCCACTGCACTCCAGCCTGGGTAACAAGAGCAAAACATCTCAAAAACAAAACAAAACGAAGAGACTTGCTTGATGTGGGCACAGTGGTTCACGCCTGTGATCCCAGCTCTTGGAAAACTGAGGTGGGAGGATCACTTGAGCCCAGGAGTTCAAGACCAGCCAGGACAACATAGTGAGACTCTGTCTCTACAAAAAATAAAAAATAAAAAAAATTAACTGGGCACAGTGTCATGCAGCTGTAGTTCCAGGTACCCAGGGGGCTGAAGTGAGAGGATTGCTTGAGCCCAGGAGATCAGTGAGCCCTGATTGTGCCGCTGCACTCCGGCCTGAGCAACAGAATAAGACCCTGTCTCAAAAAAACAACTTTTTTGATTAAATTTAAAAAAATTGGCTGGGTATCGTAGCTCACACCTGTAATTCCAGCACTTTGGGAGGCTGAGGCGGGCAGATCACCTGAGGTCGGGAGTTTGAGACCAGCCTGACCAACATGGAGAAACCCCTGTCTCTATAGTAAATACAAAATAAGCCGGGTGTGGTGGCGTGTGCCTATAATCCCAGGTACTCAGAAGGCTGAGGCAGGAGAATCACTTGAACCCGGGAGGCAGAGGTTGCAGTGAGCCAAGATCGCGCCATTGCACTCCAGTCTGGGCAACAAGAATGAAACTCCATCTCAAAAAAAAAGAAAAAAAGACTTGATAATTTAGAACTTCTAAAATATTGTATTAGACTTATGCTGAGTGACTTTGCCTTCTTAAGTTTCTTTTCATGAGATCAACTCTTTCGGCCTATTATTTGGCTTGGTCAGAGAACTCTTTGTCAGTGTGTATATCCTGGCCCACATATTAGAATGATGAGATATGAAGTCATTCGTATCACAACTAATTTTAGACCTTCTTTGTCTACTGTCATCTCTTTGAATTTTCTAATTGAATTTCTTTCACTTTTTGCTCTCATGCTTAACTTTTGAATTTAGCTTAACACACAACTGAGGATATTATAAAATAAAATATGGATTATTTAGAGGGGTCTTCCTTAGAAAGTCTATATATGAATATGAGGTATGCTAATAGTCAGAAAGGACAAAGAAAATTAAGTTTGACACCTGTGGGTGATATCCAAAATCAATTTTATCATCACACCCAAAAAATGCTTTGGCGTAAGGAATAAATTTATTCATAAAAGGGGACTATATTAAAGGGAAATATTTTATATTAAGTATATTAAGTATATTTTGCAAATGCATTGCAGCTACTAACTATAGAAGTAAAAGACTTTTCTGTCCAGTGCTTTGGAGGAGATAAAGATGTATAAGACGTCATTCATATCTGAAATGAACTTTTAATCTAGTAAAGGAACTGTGTACCTAATTATGATGCAAGGCAATTTATGCTGAGGGCTATTAGAGAAACAGATCCCTTTCCGTTGGGAGCCTCGAGGAGGGTTGATAAAAGAAGCCGAGTGGTCAAGCAGCAAGGACCCATTTTCAGGTTTCTCCTAATAAGTGTCCAAAATTTAATATTTGGTACCTTCACTAGCAAATACGATCATACAGGTTAAATGTATTTGCTTTTAGTTTGGTGAATTTCCTCTAAGATAAGTTTTCTACGACTTGTTTAATGCTTCTGTATGCTATTTATTCTCTTTGCATTTTGAACACATTGCGTTATTCTGTTAATCGTGGACAGCAAAGCACAATGGATTAATAGGGCAAATAATTAGTAACACATTGGGTGATGCAAACAGAAAAATGTATAAATTTTTCTCACCAAAGATTTGACTTATTTAAATATCAGTATTCAAAGTGTCAAATGTTTGAACTCATTGATAACAGCAGAAAATATTGATATTGTATGTTTTCTTTACAAAGCACTGACCTAATTGCTTTTTAGAATCTGGTGGTGCTGTTTTTTGGGTTTTTTTAAACTCAATTTCATCCCCATTCAAATATCCAAAACCAAATCCAAATCTAGTCGACACCTAAACAATAGAATGTTACATTAGTTTGTGATCCAAAGTGAAATCAATCCCCCACATGCACACAAACTGGCCTGGCTGGCCGGTTTTACAGTCCACTGCCGCCTTCACTTCAGATTATGTAAACACGTATTGTGAAACAGCTCTGATGGGAACCTTATAACCTAAACATTATTCTCTGAAATGTAATTTGTTGTCTTTTATATAAAAGAAGAAATTAAATCAAAGATAATTTGAAGGAAAACAACTCTGGGATTTTGTTTAATTGCATTTTGCTGGGAAATGTTATTGCCTGGTAGTACTGGCCCCGGGGTCAGGAGGAAGCTGGGTTCCATCTTTCGCAGGGTCAAACTTCTCAAGTGACTTTTGCCCCTGTGCCTCACATCAGGCCCCAAGGAGCCCCCCAAAGTGTTCTGATCCTAAAGAAAGGCATATATTACATTATGTTAACTGAAACCTAAAATGACTATCTCTTTAGGACAATGTACTGTTGTGACCTCTCCCTCTAGAATATTTCCCATGAATGTTAAGTAGAGCCCAGTTCCTGGAAGAGCTTGATCTAATCCTCCAGAGCCACTTAAGCCAATAGAGGGCTCTCATTTTCCACCTTCTCTAAGTAATATTACTTCTTCCCCAGTATTATTTTTCTTTATGTTCCAGCTC